CAGCTTCTTGTCCAGTGCATATAATGCGTCACCCGCAAATGTGGAAACTGTACTTTATTCACCCATAGCATTGCCTTGTGGTACTCCAACCTTTATTGGTCTCAATTCTGAGTACTGATTTTCACACCTAATTTAAAATATTATGTCGGTATTATAGGATTGCAATAGCAGCCTGTATTTTTGGGCAGAAGTCATTTGAGCTAATATTCCTTGATGCCAGATTTTGTCAACTCCTGGACTATGTTCAAGAATGCTGCTAAACATTTATCATCTTTTAATTTCTTTTCTAGTTGATCAGTGACCTTATGAGAGAGATGTAGAGATTGTACATGTTTCTTATATAATGGGTTTAGGCTTTTTTAAAAGTTTATTTTCAAAATGTTTTGATACTACAATCATCTTGGTCTTATTTACTGGTTTTCCAGGTTTAGAATTCATGATGACCTACTATTTTTCAGTCTATAATCTATAGGATGAACTGAATGAAATAGTTTAACTATTGCTTTTATTGATAATTGTTTAAGAACTATCCATGTTATTAGATCGCAACGGGTGTTTTTATTTCTTCTACGAGTTTCTTTCGTATTATTGCTAGTTCTACTTCTGCTTCATTTGTTTGAACAGTCTTGTCCAAGTGGTTGGTAAATAGAAGAGCTTTTTCTTAGTTGCTAGAATAAAAAATAACCTCATAATTCAGATAGGTAACTTATGTTGTATTAACACATTAGTCACAAATTCTAGAAAATTGCAAAGCAAATTAATTGAACTACTCGTTTTAGAGCTTACATTGTGGTAGATTAAAGAATTAATTAAGGAACGAACCATTGACAAAATGTATTCAAGATCTATAAAGATAAAAACGATTAATCGTAAAGAAATTCAATAGGACAAAGAACACCTCATTCGGTCTCGTATGTTTATTAAAATTTCATGTCACACCTTGACAACACTCAAAAGAAAGGAAATCGTATTTCTATACCTACACCGAACCTCCATAAAATACCACAACAATAAATGGCCCAAAGCACAAAATTACACATGATTTAATGTTTCCTTGGCGCGTGCCTGAAATACACAAAAAGACAACAAAGTGTTTAATTTGATATTTTATTATGGTAAATAAATCAAACTCATTTGGAGCGGTTACACAGCATTCGCGTGTGCTACTAGAACTGTCAGTTAAATTAAATTTAATTAAACGAAATGAATAAATTAGAAATTAAAATGCCCGAGTCTGATGTGCTTTCTACGCAGATTCGTGTACCTTGTATCTGGCAGTCTAAAAATTAGGTATATCGAGAAAAGCGGATGTGCTTCTGTGATTTTGTTCCTTATCGGTTGTGGGGATCTTTTTGGTGCCAATCAAAATTCTAACGCCTACGTAAATTGCGACTGCCACGTCATTTATTTTTCTTATTAACTTGTGTTTGTATTAATTTAATTAAATATGAAAGTATGAATAGAGACAGTTGACTCATAACCGGTCTAGAATTAAAATAATTCAAATATAGAAATAAAACTTTTTCTGACAATCTACTAATGTACGAATTTAGGGAGATAATGTTTTAAAAATACTTGATAGATTTCTGAAAACTCTAACTAGCAACCAGTTTCAACTAAACCGATTATAACGAAGAACCGTAAAATGATATTCTAAAACAGGATGTATCTAGAGATACTTATTTGGCATCAAGACGGGCATGTGCAGTGAATACTTATGGGAGTTTTTCACCTTAAAACCTGCTACTCGTAAAAACTAAACTTTTAGTGCTTGTGGTCTTTAGGGACAAGACCTGCCAGTTCACTGTTTACTGCCTTCTAAATTTATATGTTACTGTTCTACAGTTATCGTATGTTCTTGGAAATATTCATATGTCAGACAATCGATGTATAAACTTTTGTTAGCTTGTGTAAATTGCACCCTGTAGATGTTTAATGAAAACTATATTTCTTTGCATATCTCTACCACATTGTATGAACTCCATAAAATTATATAACAACTATTATAACTGTATGATAATATCAACAACTAACATTAAATAGCGTAATAAAAGTCGATTAAAAAAATATATAATTAAACTTAATAACTAAGTACCTACCTACCTATTTTATGTAGGTGGATTTAGCACTGCCTAGCGAATTCATCTGACTGCTTAATTATTAGTTTGCTATCAAATCAAATGAACATTTCAAAACTTTTTCTGACCTGCTTACGAATTCTGATACAAACATGTCTGTACATTTATTGTTGTAAATAATAGGGATTGAATAACTACTTCATAAATATTTTCCTACGAATTATTCAAAAAGGCGATGAAATTTTTTTATGTCGAAGAATCTCGGACATCACAGCACCTTGCTGAAAATCGGAACGGCAATTTTGACATTCCCCAAGAATGTCATGAATCATGCCCGATGAATTCGCGAATTCTTTTCCGCACAGGTACCACTGACTGCAACGTTGCCGTTGCTTTTTGACAATTAGCATTCTGCAGAGCAACGTGTACAATCGACCTTGAGCAATCGCGAAAACCGCGAGAAGTGACTCATGCCGCGAAGAATCCAAAGAGTTCGATCTCCTCGAACGTGCACGTTGCCATCGTCATCGTGGACTTGGTTGCAAGTCCGTAATTCTTCAATTTTATCAGAAGTAAACGGTTGAATTGGGTTTACAGAGATGGATTTAGTAATACAAAAATAATAATAGTGTTGCAATTAAATTTCTATTTAAACTGTTTTTCTTTGGACATCATCTAATGTCTGTTGTGATTATTGATCAAAGGATAAATTTCGCTCATATTATTTTGTTTTATATTTATTTAAAAAAATATTAATTTCCGAATTTATTAAATTAAAATAAAAACTGGGACTAATATGTTTTTAACACATGATTATACCTACCTAATAAAGTTATAAATTATAACGCTCAATACGATATATATAATATATAATAAAATACTCCCTGATAAAGAATATCTAGGCTAGTAGGCTATTGATTATGTCCTAAAAAAGGGGACAATAAGCAATTATCACCATCGCGGGTTTTTATCACATGAATCATTCAACTGGCCATTAAAGATAAAAAACCGCGGAGTGCTATTAAATTAGAGGGCGGAAATTGAAAATTGGAGTAACGAAAACGCAGCAAAATTCAGGTATAGTTAATAGGATTTTTTTATAGAAAATGCGATTTCCCATCAAAATAATTAATTTAAAATATTAAAAAAATTATGCAAAAAATATTTAAAAAGAAAATTTAATAAATGCAAAAAATCCAGGCATTGCTTCATTTAAAAAAAAGTAGACTAAATTTCCTTTAAAATGGTGGGTTAAAAAAGATTTTTGGATAAAAACTGACTGAGAAGATATAGTCATTTGTTATTAAAAATTAAAAATTTTGTAAAACTATGATCGATTTATTAACCAAGTCACAACATTGGAAAAAAAAAATCTGAAATTTATAAATAAAAATATTTTACAATTAAAATCTTATATAGATACGTTTTTAAGCAACTGAAAAAGAAATAGAATCTCCATCAGAATACATTTTATCTACTCTTTATGTGGCAAAGCCAAATGAGACAAGCAACTGTGGCTTCCAGCTTTTCTGCAAATCTTAATCTTAATAACCTCTAAATTAGTTTTAAAAATTTTGCAGATTTTCTTTAGGGAGTCGCAAAAAATTATAGTGCATATCCACTCTTGTTGCACAAACTACCTACTTCATTGTGTGTGGCTACATATTGAACAGGGTTAATTATTGAAGTTTTCATTTATATCCCTCCAAAGTAAGAAAAAAAAAGTTCTAATAAGTAAAGGAAAGATTCATGAATATTATTTTAAATTGGTTGAAGTTAAATAAAAATCTTAAACTTGAAAATTGATCTAGTCCAAATTGCACCAAAAACATCACTGATGGCCTTAAAAATATATTAGAACCTTACTTTCGCTCATCAGAACTATGACCAATAAGAAAATAATTTTTACATCATTGAAACCTTTTTGAAATGAGCGTATAAATAAATAAGAAATGTTTTTAAACCAGGCCTGCAAGTATCAATACCTTATTTGTGTTACGCAACATCCCTTTTTCGTCACAATGTTTTATAGTTTCCTTATCTCTCCGGCTTTAAGTCTTTGCCGTTTTTGTCATCCATTACTTTATTTTTCATTAAAATTGCGTCGATACGTGCAAGACGACATTCTTAGAAAATGACTGTACATTGACTCTGAGGTAGCAAAGTACAACGGTGTAAAAAAGGAACGTTTTTTCGCAATAATATTGGAAAACTCATTTTCTATACTTTTTTTTTTAAGAAGTTTTATTGAACTTAGTGAGTTTGTCGAAAAAATGGTCAATCTGGCAATAACTCAAATGACTACATAGGAATGGGCATGTCCTTAAACCTCCATGTCCCATTTTTAGACTTTCCTTCCACTCTGTATACTGTATATCGAAAAAAATCAAATAAGTCATTTTTCTCAAATTGGAAATTAAGTCTGAGGATCTTTAAATAGCTCGTAACAATGCCCAATGGGGTTATATTAAGCTGCATTAAAGATTTTGTTACAGAATTCACTTTTTCATTGACAATAATAATACAGGGTGCGACAACATAAACGACGTGCTCAAAGAGCTATTGTCCATTACTTCTAATTTTGCTTGTTCATGTTTAAATTTACATAGTCTGCGTTTCTTATAATCCTAATGTAACTTTGTCGCCAGTTCATTTTTTTCCTTAATCCGCTAATGATATATTACGAGGCTAAACACCCAAGCAAATATGTTAAAAAAAAGAAGAAACAACCAGATACCACACGTAACATTAACTCATAATTTATAATATACATACACACACATCCTGAGCTCTCTCTCACATTTGCAAATATAATAAGCGCCTGCATCTTGCATAAAATGTGTTGCAACTTTTAAGACGGTATTTTTGTTTTGTTATTTTTATTTATTTTATTATTTTTAATGTAAGATGTTTTTTTTGCAGGGGTATTTAGCGCCTTGGAAGGCTGATCCCGATTGTCCTTTGGCTGACCATTTACCGCATCTTTTTAGTAATTTAGAAAATATTTATAAATTTAACAAGTGAGTATTTTACATTTTTCACATTTTTATGTGTATGATTGTAAATATTATAGGGAAAATATTGCAAAAAAGTAAAGATGCATCAAAGAAAAAACAGTAAATTAACAAGCACAGATAAAAAAGAAGTTACTGAAACTATCTTTTTACTAAAAAAAAATATACTAAACTAGATTTACGAAATAACGGCCGAAATTCTTAAAGATTTGTATCAATAAATTTCTTCAGTAATGGCCTTTCTTATAAATAAATCCATTGATGTTAGTATATTTCCAGATACTTTCATAAAGTCGTTACGATAATGTCTATCTTTTCAGATAGACAATAAGGATTTCGAGAACAAACCTCAACTTCGGATGCTATGGCAAGATGTAAAATTTTTATTAATAATTTTATAGAGAAAAAACAACCTTCAAATTTTTTTAACATTAGCGGCATTTTCAGTGATGCTAAAGTAATTAAATGTGGTGTTCCTCGGAGAACAGTCTTCGGACCATTGTTATTTAATATTTATATAAACGAACTATTTGAACAGGATTCACAGGCGAAGTTATGAGTTTTGCCAATAAAATTTTCAACATAATAACTGAAAATCAGTCAAAAGTACTGTTGAACAAGATATTTTTTAAATTACACAACATAATTAAACATTCATACTTGCTTCCTGATTACATTTTTTACACAGGCTAGACAAAAATCAAGTTATAAGTTAAAATATCAAGAATTTTTCCATTAACATTTGGTGACTATAATGGAATTCTTAGAAACCGTTCCTGTTAATTTTCATTTTAAGTGAGCATTAAATTAGTGTTGAAAATACAAAACTTTTTCCCACTTAACCAGTTTTCTTCATACGGTTTACGTGTTAAAGCCACTTAAAATCTCACTGTGGGCGGTCAAGGGTCACGCTATATATTTTTTGTACATATAAGAATAATTTTTTATTCTAAAGGAACCCTCTTATTCAATATTACCCGCTTCATTTTCATTATGTCATAGTGATTTACTTCTTTATAAACGGGTGTGTAAGGCTATTAATAATACAGTGTCCGAGTAAATTTTAATACCAACAGGTATCAGCGAACATAAGCGAAATTTTATGGACTAAATCACCAAACATAAATTGTATTTATAAATAATCCCTGTAGGTAAGGTACAGGATGAATATCAGAGGAATTACACAAAGCAGCTTTTGTACAGCTTTGTTAACAGCTATGTATACAGGGTAGGGTATTTCATAAGAGTGAATAAAATTGATCAACCTAGAATGCAATGTTAAAAATACGTTGTAAATTATTTGTGTCAAAAAATATAAGTATTTGGTGTTAATCTTGCAATGGGGTAAGAAATACTAAAATAATTATTGCATTTTTGTATTGTTTTTTCTGTGTTTTCTTTCTGAGTGTGTCATGTATGCTACAGTGTCATGTATCTACAAAAAAAAGTAGCGACTTATTACTTTGGTAACAGGATAGTCTTTTTGAAGTTCTGAATCAAGAGTCTTTGAAGGTTCATCCTCTGTGATTGACCTACATTATATTTGGTAGCAATGTTGAGTGGGGGTCCTTAGTTAACGGCCTGTAAATCCCAGGCAGCACACGTCAATCCATTGGTTGTCCATCGGAAGTCCATTGATGGACGTATCGGCTGTCCAAAGGACGTCCAGCATTTTACGCAAGGACATGGACTATACAAATGTCCTATTCCTGGACGTCCATTTGGACTCCATGTAAGGTCCATATCCTCGAATATGCAGCATGTTAATTTGCTTTTTTTAAAGCAATTTTCTTACAAAAAAAAATAAATGACATAAAATAGTATTCTACTGGTTAACAATCATTGATTAAACATTTGCTACATTGTAAATCCGAAAATAAATTTTGGCAACTCCGTCGACATGTCAATTTGTAACTGAATATGGAACCTCTGAAATAGAATATAGTAAGTGAGTTCGGATTGCGCACTCCAGAGTGGAATGGAGTAATTAGACGTAAACGAAGTGCGCATATGATTTTACTCCTTTAACTCTCGGAGTGCAATATCAGTTGTACTTAAAATCTAATCGTACTTATCAATAACGACCGTATAAGTTTCTTCCATATTAATGATATTCACTGGAACAAAAAAAAACTTTTTTACTAGAAAATCAGTCACAATTATCGATTTAAATCACCTTATTCGCATGCCCTAATAGAGTCAAAAGGGTGCCTAGTCCGAACTTAGCTAACTTATGGGTGAAGATTAACCAAAACAGCGGGAGGGAAGGATAAAAAATTTTTCTTGGAGAACTCTTTTAGGAAGGTGTCGCGCGGCGCTTATGATGGGGAATGGGAAAGGGGGGAGCAACACGCGCGCAAGGAAAAAACCACAAAAAAAGTTTCAGATTTATTTGAAATCGAAATACATAAAAAACACCTATTAAACGTCGATATAGGGCTCCAAAAAGCCGATCCAGTGGCCCCAAAAATCAGAAAATCTTAAAAACAAAACAAAAATTATTATTCGCACCTCAAATTTATCGTTAAACAATCGCACACACTTAATAGAACTCGATTACATTATAAAACACTTACGATACCTATTTTCAAAAAAAAAAAAAAAAAAAAAAAAAAAAAAAAAAAAAAAAAAAAAAAAAAGCATCACTTAGAACCTAGAACCAGCGACCGCCATTTTGTCTTCATAAGTCAAAATCCAGGTTATTCAAATCTAGAAATCATTCTAATACCAACTGATGTTAAAAAAATCCTAAAAAAATCCTAAAAAAATCCTAAAAAAATCCTAAAAAAATCCTAAAAAAATCTATAATTTACAATTAAAGCTCTAATCAAAGAAATAATTACATAAAAAGAAAGAGGAGAACAAAATACCTTTAGAGCCGATACATTATTTGGCAATACGTCTAAAAGAAAGGGGTTTTTCGAATGTAAATCATAAATATAAAGTTTAAGACATAAATGTTAGGTTATGTTAGTTTAAAATAAACGATTTGCTTCATAATTTTTGGAATTTTAAATAATTTAATATAAATTATACTTATTTTCTTACCAGACAACAAATTATCTAAACTCGAAAGCCGTTCTTAACCTCTTTCTTATTTTCTTCTTGGAGTCTGGCCTGAATGGCCTTTTACTTTTGTATCTTGTCAGCTTGGTAGCGAAAAAGAGAAGAAATAATTGATTTATTTTAATTAAAACCTAGTTATAAATAATTAAATTATACTAAAAGAATTATAATAATATATTATAAGTTTGTTATTTTTATATTGGACTACTGAATGAGTATATCCATTCGAATAACGGAAAATGGATGTCAAATGGACATCCAGGACATTATTTGAACAAAATATGGACGTTCAATGGACGTCGTGTGCTCTCTGGGATGTATATACGTTACTTCAAATAACGACCATTATAAATTAACTACAGCATAAATTATTTATTTTGTAAATTAACAACGTTATTATAATTATTATGGTTTTTCAGATCATTCTTAGAAGACTTAAAACAAGCCGAAGGTGAAGCCACAAAAACTGCCAATTGTTTTCTACACCACGATTCCGGGTTCTCAGTGTACAACGATTACTGTCAAAACTACCCTCGTACCATGGAAGTTTTAGGAAAGCTGACCAGAGATGAAAAAATGGCCCCGTTATTTAGAGAAAAACAAATTTCTCTGGGTCACGCTTTACCATTGGGTTCCTACCTATTGAAACCAGTACAAAGGATATTAAAATATCATCTATTATTGCAGGTGAGTTAAAGAAGAGAATACTCGTATATACATTAATTTTATGCTAAAATAAAGATGTCAATATTTTTCGCTACTTTTACTTATTTTAATGTACATTTCCAGAGACTATCGAAGCAATGCGAAGCCAACCACAAACCCGCAGTCGATTTGGCCCTCACCACGATGACAGGTATCGCCTCCGACATCAACAACATGAAACGCAAACACGAAGACGCTGTCAGAGTACAAGAAATCCAAGCACAACTGTACGGGTGGAACGGACCCGACCTTACCGCCCTCGGAGAACTGATAGCCGAAGGAACGTTCAGAGTTGTAGGCGCCAGAGGCAGAAGGCACGTTTTCCTTTTCGAGAAGGTACTGCTGTTGGCTAAGAATAAGCAGGGAGGTGCTCTGGCTTATAAAAGTCATATAATGGTGAGTTTAGATCAAAATATTACACCCTTTTTATTATTAGAAACAATATGTAGACAATGATAGACCTTTGAGGTTAATTGTATGTTAAACTTTGCATTTAAAATTACAGACTTCAAATTTGATGTTGGTAGAACAAGTCAGAGGAGAACCGCTATCATTTCAAGTCATCCCTTTTGACAACCCTCGATTGCAGTCGACCCTTAAGGCCAGATCGCCGCAGCACAAAAGGGAGTGGACCTTGCAGATAAAAAGGGTGATCTTGGAAAACTACACTGCCGTCATACCCAACCACGCCCGACAGTTGGTTTTACAATTGGGACAGGACTTGCACGAAACCGGTGAGTAAGAAAACCTTGACATTTGACGTATGGCGTTTTTGACAGGTCACAGCATGCGGTTGTCTGGAGTTCATTTTGTTGATTATTTGTTTTTAAATTTATTTTCAGAAATGGTAAATTATTTTAATACTTTGCAAGTCTCCGAGAGTAGGTGGTCTTTTTTAACGTTGAAAAGATCGTAGATGTGACGTTAAAGATTGGATTTAAACTGCGTACTAGCCACTAAAGACGAAATTTATTCGGTTTGTACTGTTTTTGGAAGTTCTTGAAACCAAATTATTAGTTATACATCGTACAAAAATCAATGATTAATTTGAGCACCAAAAAAGAGCCTTTACTCTTTTAAAATTCACAAAATTTTATGAGTTACCTATCAGACTTGTTCATATATGTTAATAATATTTTTGATGACATAACTTTTACTAATATACCATAAATTTAAGAAAGAGGAGATGAAACACAATTACGCAAAAACTATTACGAATTTTTAGTTGAACTTGAGTGATATGGAGAATAGACTACATTTCAACACATCTTTCTTAAATATGCACAATATATATTTTTAACTAGATAATTATTTCATTTGCACTAAAATAAGTTAGAATCTCCAGTTTTAAAACGATAACACCCCATTATAACTGACTTATCTGATTTTTTCTTCCAGAAGATACGAACAACGATAAATGGTCCCCCCTTAAACAGCACTCTACCCCCCACTACCTGGAACGACGAAGCAGAGCGAGAAAAACCCGCGACTTCGGCAGTAGACGAGCAGCCTCGCAAGACAGATCCTTCCCAACGCTGGCCAACTGGCGTAGAAAGTCCGAACCGAGCATGATACCTCAGTACAACCCAGTCAAATCCATTTCGAAGATCAGCAAACCGAAAAAGACCAAAGACACGCAAAGCGCGACGTTCTACACCGATCTGTCGGATTCTGAACACTGCCCTGACGAATCGTTGGACAATCTACGAGAAGATGGCGTCGAAGTAGCAGCTGAAGCTGTAGAAGAAGAAAAGACTGAAAATGATACCGTGAAGAATAATCTGGAAAAGATCGTTTCCGATATTTTGTTGCAGAATCAAAACTTCCATAAAGCGTACTATAGGCAGGTCAGCAGAAAGAGTGTGACAAGTGATCCTTCTTCAACGTGGTACGAAGAAAAGGTTAAATTACCTGCAAAAGCTGACTCCTTGCCGAGGTCTTTCCAACTGTACGATCAACCGGATTCTAAAGATGGCGTTGAATGTAAGAACGAACGGTTGGTGCTCGATATGTCATTGAAAGAGAACCCTGATACCGATGTTGAAGAGCAGCAAGAAAAGTAAGTATATGTACCATCCCTATTTCTTTTGTACTGTTTTGTTATTTGGAGTAATGAATTTATGTTCATTAAAACTTACTTCAAACGATGTTTTTGTTTGACCTACAATATTTTGAACGTTTGTATGTTTTTCAGTGATCTCTCTTCTCAATTAGATGACGCCGAACATCCTGATCACAAAATTTATCGAAAAACCGCCATCCGATTTAGTATTCTGCAAAGGATTCGTCATATCATGTCCGAGGAGCAACGACGCATCCAAAAATATCCCATCCACAAGCAAGGTTCGAAGAGTATGGGCGAAAAAATCGCTCATCCAGACTACGTTGATCCTCAGAAACTTTTCTGTGGTAAGTAAACATTACAAGAATGTGGGTACGACTAAATATGTTGAGAATATAGTGTTCTACAAGATTCCCATTTGACATTTTAACGTACAATCAATGGTTTAAGAAATAATTTGCCGGTCTTCGATGCGATCTAACTGATAAAGAACTGATATTATGACAATAACAATATAAGGGATTTTGTAGAAATCTTAAGTGGTGATCAAAATAATCTTACTATTTTTGTCATAAAATCAACGGTGTGCAAGATATTTTCCTTTCCCATCACATTGTGAAACACTCTGTATAAGCATCCTTCCGTGCTTTAAAGCACAAAAAATATACTTATGATATTAAGGACCCAACTTTATTTCATTATAACTCATTATCTATGTTTGATAGGTTCGGCTAGCTGCAGTCAGGTTGATCTGTCCCTTTCCGAGGACAAAAACGAGGACAGCGACATGCTGGGAGAACCAGAACGACTTGACTTGTCGATCAGCGAAAAAGACGTACTTAACGAATTGGAAAAGAGGTTAAACGGTGAAAATGGCGTCACGGATACGGGCCAGAGTGCTGCCAATTCTAGTCAAAGCTTCAATTCTAGTCACAATTCCGATAGTTATTACGAATGTATCCTCGAGGATTCCTTAAAGGAAGAGTTTGTCAAGGATGCCACAGGAAAATTGGTATGTATGCATAATACGATGTTTTAATTTATAATTTCTTGTATTAGTAAATTTGGCTGTTTAATTCAAATTTTACTAAATTCAAAGTTAGATACCAATCCAAACTACTTTTAAAAAATCTTTATTTACATTATATATTTACATATCACATCTACATAGCATACAAGTTAAGTTAGAAGCGTTTTATCATTTCTTCTTAGGCTTTCTTGCTTCCAAGTCCAATGTCCTGCTGCTTCTATATCCTGTAGATTTCCGTCTTAATAGAGAAATGAGTTAACTCCTTGCCCCTAATCGGCATTATTGGACTATTCTGATGGTGATACTAGAGCTGTTTTTGACTGTATTGTGTCTGATTTTGTTCCCTGAAAAACGATATGAAAAACAGGGTTGTCCTCAATCTCAAGGTCAACTACTTTTGGCAATGTTTAGTCTTCCGTCCGACTTTCAAATATCTTCCATTTTAATAAATCACGACTTTTTCATTGGATGCTACGTTTTCTTTGTCTGGAACGCGGCATTAAAATTTGACGTTGGGAGGTCCAGGTATACAATATCTTCGTCCACCATACGATGTTATTTCGTCTTGTACAGTTTGATGGTTCAATAATAATTGTTCTTCCGATAGTTGGGGAATACGTTTTCCACATTTTCAATATCTGTTCAATCTGGAAGTTCTGATAGTCCTGATAGTAGTGTTTTGTAGGATTTGATTTTACCGCTATTCGATGGTTGTGTTGATTTGTCGGCTTTGTCGGATTTTAGGATGTTTTTGTTCTCCTTACTTTCGACTCTTTCGAGTTTGGAAACAATCTTTTTTAAACTTCCTCTGGCTAATCTCCTTAAAAGTTCACCAGTACTCATGATTTTTTCCAAAGTGATTTTGGTCTTCGCATTAACTGTATCTGGGCTGCTTTTTTGGGGCTAATTTTTTGGTTAACGGGATGTTAACTTTAAGTTTATCGTGGCAATCTTTCTTTATTCCACGCATGTACATTGTCTCAAAGGTATTTAATGCATCGCCCCCTCGGGCCCCGACTTATAAAGGGAAACTCACACATTTGACTTTACCTGGCGTATTTTGTGGTTTTCTATAATCCCGAACGAAATGTTTGTAACAATCGAAAATACAAAATGAAACGAGGATAAACGTGGTTTTTGCTTACAATCTTTGCCTAAACACTTCAATGTCAGTAAGTATTTTATTAATAATTTATATTGTTGTTACAGGTAGCCAAACAAGACTCCTTCAGCAGTTCAGAGGGCAAAACCTCACTCTCCCCTAAATCGCACTTAGATAAACGACCAATCATAAAAAGGCCGAATAAAGCACCACCTCCGGTGCCACAGAAACCCGTGAGGCTGAGTCTCAAGGGCCCCGCCAAGATCGTAACGACGAAAACGAGTACCAAGACTGTAACGAAAGAGACTATTAAAGAGAGTTGTACGAGTTCCGGGGGCAGCAAAGAAGATACGGAAATGACCAGCACTAGTACGGCTACTAGTTCTAGCGCTAGTTGGGTCAAGGCGATGGTTGGACGATTCGAATGATTGTAGGAGTAGGTTTAGTTGGTCAATCGAGTAGTTTTGTTTATAAAAATAGAGGAAGGCGATGAAAATGAAGATCTAGTACAAATAGGTCACTAATATATATTTTTTATGAAATTTAGTGCAAAAATTGATGGAATTGTTTAATGACTGAGAAAACAAATAGGCAGAGCCAGCTTTATTGACAATAATGATAGTTGACAACTATGCTCATTAAATTGACAATAATGTATTCAAATATGACAATAACTTATAAAATGATAATTAATAATCAAAATATTAAACTGTCCAAAAGCAAAAAACTTTTTATATTTAAAAATACCTCTCCAACAATAAAACTATCCTGATTGACCAATTAAATGACTCATTTTCGTTGTGCTATAACATATTGTGGCTGTTTTTAACTAGTAGTAATGAAAACTGTTTTATTTTATTTTAAATACACATTTAAAATAAAATTGTTCACATAATCAAACAAATTGAATCAATATTATAAAAT